CAGATCTAATTTCTGATAATATAGTTAATCGGATATGAATTTAACATTCAAATATCCGTTGGATTATTGGATTGGATCAAATAAGATAATTATTCTTAACATATCGAATCGAATTTGAGTAGATCTGATCCATTTATAACCCTAACTTCAATGCAAAGATTCCACAATCGCCCTGGTTCAAATTCACAGAAGAGGTTGGGCAACGTACCGTCAACGAATGTTCTCTTCTTTGCCTCGATGGTGTACGGAAAAATAATGTGTTGTGATAGCAATCTAGTCCTCTTACTAACCATTTGCTTTGACACGTCAATAAACATATTTCTTACATAATGTCACTTTCATCGTCTTCTCCGGCATAATTATCACATTATCCAAACTCGCGACATTATCTGTCAAGTTGGGGGGTCATTTCCGACGTAATTATGTATATTAATGTGTGTTTAGTTTATCAGCTCTATGCCATGTTCGATACTAAAAATTCAATGTACTTCAATTAGGGCTGTTAATAGATTGGATTTTGATCTGAATCCGATGAAATTAATGGGAGATAGATTTAGGGTCTCAATCGGAAGATCCAATCGAGATTCAAATCCGATAATCCGTTTACTAAATAAATCAAATATGGATATAGGTCAATCTAATCTGATAAATAAATAAAATATTGATTTATCTAATTTTTTCAATTTCGAATCGGATATCCAATAACATAGTTAATCGAATATGGATTTAACATTCAAATATCCGTCGGATTATTGAATCGGATCGGATAGGATAGGATAATTATTATTAACGGATCGGATCGAATTTGAGCAGATCCGATCCATATATCCGATCCATTTACGGTCCTAACTTCAATGAGAAGATTTCACAATCACCTGGGTCGTCGTATCTCTTGAATGCATCTCCCAACTGTGCCAGAATTACCATCATAAGTAGGATCGATGTAACAGGTCTGCGTGCTCCTCATCCAACAAATATAGGACTAATGCGAAGCTAGCAAAGTTATAATTCGACGCAACTTTGTTAGCAATATGTCTCATGGCAGTGTTCAAATGGCAATCCATCTTGTAAAATTTAAATGTGTATTTAAATTATTTATTTTAATTGTTTGGTTGTTTATTTAATATTTATTTTAATTGTTAATTGAATGTTTAATTGTTTATTTTGAATGTTAATTATTTATTTCAATTGTTTATTTAATATTTAATTACTTATTTTTATTATTTATATTTATGGTTGATTTAAATTATTTATTTAATACTTAAATGTTAATTATTTTTATTTAATACTTAAATGTTAATTATTTATTTAAATTGTTTATTTAATATTTAATTACTTATTTAAATTACTTCTTTTTATATTTATTGTTCATTTAAAATATTTAACTAATATTTAAATTCTAATTATTTATTTCAATTGTTTATTTAATATTTAATTACATATTTAAACTAGTTTTTATTATTTATATTTATTTGTTATTTATGTTAATAAAGT